ATTTATTGTTTATATAAATAAAAAACTTTTAAATTAATATTACGAGTATTATGTGCGTAAAGAACTTAAATTTATCCAACTATAAAACGAATTTTATACCTAATGTATTTAGGGTTGTTAAGACGTCAAATATTATAAAAACATTTTTCTTAATATTTTAACAACTTTACGCCAGGAATAATAATAAAATTTGAATTAAAAGTTATTGTATGTCTTATTTTATAAATATTCCGAAATAAAATTGAATACTTTTACATTTTTTACGTTTAAATCTATTTATTTATGCTTAAACTTTTGAAATTAAATATACGTTTTATACTATATACTCGTATATAAGGTATACTTCGTAATTTCAAACGGTTTTATATTAAAATGCCTAATTAGAAATAAATAATATTGATTTTTAATATTTCATTATAATCTTTATTGATTACTTACCGACAAATTTTAATATAAGAATGTGTAAAGTGCTTGTTTTAAATAGCACTTATTATTTTGAAAAGTATTAACATCTGTCGACGTTTATCGAATGGAAAAAGTATCATACAATATTAATTGTATTTTTTTTATTTTTTTTTATTTACTTTTTTTATTGGTCTTGAGACTGACAACTATGTCCATCATTAACTATTGTAGGGATTACGGTAGGGTTTAGTACGATTGGTACGGGCATTTACCATTTCCGCCATAATTTGAAGTGACCGTTTCCGCCAATCTACCTACTATATATAATTTACTATATATTTATATTAATATTCTGTATTAGTTGTAGTATTATTCCTATTATTTTTAAAGTATACTTAAGTTTTGGCTTGAAATAATTGCACATGGCTTATATAATAACATTAAATATTGAAAAATAAATTTATAACTAATAATAATAAAGTAAAAGTCGCTTATTCATAAATAGGTATACTGCAGTAGGTTTATGGAGTACAAAATGTTCTTATCATTACTGTAGTTTCAATCTTATCGATTTATGTACGATGGTTCCATGTTTAAGTTATATACTCGTATATATATATATTATATTATACAATATGTATAAAACACCTAATATTTACATTGTATGCATGTGTTCATTTAAAATTGACACTATCATAGATTAATGTGTACAACTATCGAATATCGCTCGTAAGTATCTAATATTGTCTTATGTACTACCGCATCGTGTGTACGTGATTTAAGTGAACTCAAATTAATTAAAACATTCTTACGATCCACGATGAACCAAAACACATAGGATTTATGAACTATGAAGATCTTCCTTTTTTACCAAAAATATGGAATTTATTATAATAATTATTCCATAGTAGGCAGATTAGCGGAAACGGGAATCGAACGTTTTTTAAGTTGGCGAAAACGGGCTATGGCGGAATAGGTCATTTCAAATTTAGGTGAAACCGGGTAATCCCCGTCGGTATGGTGAGTTGACAGCACTTGTATACTTGCCTCGTATGTGGCAAGGTTTTTGCCACTATAAGAACTCAGGTGGTCACCAATCCATGAACTAGTGGYAGTGAGCAGACTGTACTCTCAATCACGTTGCGTTAGAGATTGTAGCAATAACCACGCCACGTCAAGCCTCTACACAATATTGTATTATTCTAAAATTACAAAATAATAGTTAATACTCATATTAAATATTTGTAATTCAGGGGACAAAGGCGATAGAGGAGATGTCGGGCAACGAGGAAACGAAGGCATTCAAGGCCCTAAAGGTAAATATACAAGTTTTATCATGGCATGCATAATAAAGTTTGCATTATTCCGATCCCTTCATAGTAAGCGAATATTTCATAATTTTAGTTTCTGTTTTTTTATTACTCACAGGTGAACCTGGAATCGACGGAGAACGCGGCTTGCAAGGACCTCCGGGTCCACCAGGTCCTCCTGGGGGATCAGATTTTTCAAATAATGATGTGAGTGTATGAAATTAATAAAAAATATATTAAATAACAAATGCAGGGCACCTAAATAGTTTTCTCAATTCGTTATTTCCCTCATTTTGATAATCAAAAATATAATACTGTATTTAACACTTTTAGCCAAGTTGGAAACCAAGACCGATTTACAAGGTAAATTATTGATTGTTTTCATTTATTTGTATGTAGTTTAATATTTGAATAAAAAAATTTATCTTATTTTATTTTGGTAATTACTGCTACCATTATTTGAACTTTTGATTTAGATTTGGTTTACAATTTTATTTTAAAAAATAAAAATAAATAATATTATTTATATCATTTTCAGGACATTGGATTTGAGTCAAACGTCGGGAGGCCCGGTCCCCCGGGTCCTAAAGGCGATCCGGGTGTTGACGGCGCTCCGGGCTTAAAAGGTATTTCAAACAGTATTACTATTTTGATAACCTATGATTAGAATCTCTTTAAATAAACCCCACGTATTTATTTAAAAATTTAAATAACGGATTATATATTTTATTTTATTTTTATTTTAGTAATAAATTAGTGACTTCATACTTTTATAGATTACTCACGTGAAATATCATATTGTAATCTTATAAACAATACATTTTTGATTTAAGTTGAAAACTTTTTTTGGGCTTACCACCCGAAAATTATTAAAATTTTATAATGTGTAGAGTACCTACTTAAACGAGATAGTTAAACTATTGGACATTGGGGAAAATTTAGTGAAGTTTTAAATACAAAACAATTTATTAATTTTCGAGATTTGAATACGAACTAAATATAAAAACAAAACTTTATCATTTTGTAACATTATCTAATAATGAGTAACATTTGCTTAAAATTATAATTCAATGAATTTATTTTGAAACTGTACAGGTGCAAAAGGAGTTCAAGGAAATAAAGGCGTTCGCGGGGAGCTTGGAAGCAAAGGAGTCAAAGGCGACAAGGTAATATTTTATTTACACTTTTAAATTAATAATAAATACTATAACTTATATGTATAATAAAGTATGTATAAATAATCGATTGGTGATGCATTTGAAATTATTAAAGCACAACTTTAAAACAGCTTATTTTAAAGGAATCGAAAGTGTACGTAGGTACATTCTTTGTGAGTAATATATTCCAAGAGGGCAAACTTGTTTGCCCTGAGGCGTGAAACTTTTAAATGTGCGACGGTATTGAGCTTACACACACTATTTAATAGAACAATAAACCCCAAGTCTCACAATAATGATGCAAATTGACAACTAGAGAGACAGATGTGTCAGCCGTACAAAATATAAACAAAACATTCTGAAATGTGCAGTTGGACAGGTTGTGTGATTGGATTAAAAATTTAAAACCCTTCGATAGTAACAGTTATATTATGATTGTATTAAACCACCTAAATAAGGTTAAATTATTCAGTATAGAATTCACTTAACAACGGTGGATTTATGAATTCTCACCACTGTAACTGTAGTCGATTTATTACTTTCATCTCTTTAAATATTTAGTACGTTCATTGAAAAATAATATACTTAATGCCACCGCTTTTTGTTTTGATCATCACCACTGTGTTTTTATATTTTATTTTGACTTTTATTAAACCATGTATTTTATCCGATTTAAAGCTAAACCAGATCCGTTGCTAATTTTTAGACAAAAATAATGCAGGCAAGCCATTGTCAAGACCAAACCTTCTAGAAACTTACAAATTACGTCTCGCGTCGGATTACAATTAAAACGAAACTTTATAACATTCACTATTTCAATGATATATAAATATAAAATATAAATTACTCATCCGCATACTTATTCCGTTCAACATGCAGCTTTAAGCATTTATTTCGAGTTTAAGCGATGATGATATCTTACACCGTTTGAATATTATATATAATGTTGTATTAAAACATATATTTTATAGTTTATATAATTAATATATTTTAAGCGTGGTAATAATCGTTAAATAATAGGTATTATATATCATATGTTCTAATTCTAATAAACTTAACCGTGTGTCTTAGGTACAAATGTTTTCATGGATAAACTTTACTATAGAAATGGTAATTCGCTTACGATTTTTGAGGTCAACACTCKCCAATATAGCTAATAAAACTATTGATGACGATTATTATGTTAATAATTTATTGCTATAATAATTAATATTATGTGTAGATAATACAACTACAACTACAGCCTAGTTAGTGTACTAATGTGTATACGCCAACAAAATATGTCCATTGTATGGCATATCTGGATTTTGACAATTTTGTCAGACAATAATATTTTTTTAATTTTTAATTTTTTTTTTTAATGTGTTTCTGACAAACAAGGCCATCGAACTTATTGATATAATAAAAAAATTTTAACATCATGAAGTTGTTAAGCGTAAATTAATAACAATATATACAGTAAATTACAAAGATGAATAAATAAATAATAAAATATGACATYCAGACAATAATATACTCCATAATAATTGTATGTAAAAATGTTAAATTCTAATCCAATACCTGTCATTTTATCATATATTATTTTCAATCACACCAAATATATCCATTTATGATAGTTTCAAGTCAAGTTCTACCTACAGCAATAATATTGTAATACCTATGTATAATATAATATAAATAATATGCACTTTGACAAATCCATTTAGGCTCAAATGATATAATGATGTCAAAAATAGTTTTTTTTTTTAATATAAGTATTTAACAATATATACAATAATAAAAAATTCAAAATACAATAATAGATTAGCAATAATATATTTTATTCTAAATAATGAATATTAATAATTTTTTGAAAAAAACACAATATATAAAATGAAATATAATATGTTGGATAACCTAATGTTGTTGAAGCCGATGAAACTTGAAAAAAAAATGCAAAAAAATTTTTTGCCGAAACCAGGGATCGAACCAGGGACCTTTAGATCTTCAGTCTAACGCTCTCCCAACTGAGCTATTTCGGCAGATGAAATGATTATGATTTTTACACTTATTTAAGTAAAACTCAATTTTCAACTATAATGAAATTGTTTCTATCAAACACCTCCAAATAGCAAAATAAATTATAATGGCCGAGAAAGTCGAGAATGTTAGATATTTATAAAAAAAAAAAAATTAGCTGTGTAATGTCCTCTTAAATTATTACTTACCATTAGACCATTAGTTATTAAGTTTTAGATTCTTTATTAGGGATCTTCTCAAAATATTGTAAAATATTTAATTGTATTAATAACCCTACGTCCCTACACATTATTGAGTACGACTAGTACGAGTAGTACGACATGTATAAATGGTACCTAAAATCCACTAACTCAGAGTCAGTGAATGACATTGGAAGGGGGATTTAAATGTGTAAAGAAATATTGTACTCACCTCTCTAAATATTTACCTACATTTCTTATTGATAAGGATATAATTCGAAAGGATATATAAGGTCTTATTCAATGAACTCCTTACCTTAAGGCTTAAATCAAGCTATGCTAGTACATTTTATGCATTAAAACTTAATACCTACATTATGTTATTAATATTAGGCACTTGTTATGTTGATTGGTTTTTGTATATGTTTTACCAGTTTACCTATAACCTATACCAGCACATAGAATTATTCATTTGTGAATATTTACTTTTAATTAAAATTAATATACATGTATATATTATTTTGGTTACTTAAGTTTTAATATAACTACAAACTAATAGTACTAACTATACTAAGACACTTAATCTTTATTAATTAATACATTTTTCTTAGTAGGTAGGTACATTTTCCACTCTGTGAATTATGAACTATTATTTTATTTATTATTATAGGTCTAACCTTTATTATTTGTACCTACAACCTAGTCGTATATAATAAGCTAGGTATAAATGTATAATTAATTAACAAGCGTTTTACGTTTGTAATGATTTTTATTTCTTATTCGTACCTAGTTTAAATGGTACCTTCTTTTGGGTGATCACACATATTCCCGTATGTAATTTTAGAGTAGAGACGATCTCTAAATATATGCGTCATCACTTGTATATGTATTATGCTTTCAGACAATTCACGACAAAATAGGTGTAACCTATATCATGGATATTATATGTTACTGCAATTTTTTTCGGAAAATTACTATAACATTAAATATTTTAAGAATTTTCATCAATAATTATTTGATTTTGTTTATTAATTGATTATACAGGGTAATGTTGGACCTACTGGACCACAAGGTTTTAAAGGTAAATAAGTTAATACATTTATTTTCTTAAACGATTTCCATGTATTTCAAAAATAATGAATTTCATTGACCTAAATATTAAAGCTTAATATATAAGAACATACCTACCTAACGGAAAATACTTGATTTTCACAAAATATAAACGCACTCTACAGCAAACAATGTGGACACTGTGAATAATATTGTTATTATGAAATATTCGACCTACGACTTTAAACCTACATAACTTTTATTAGAAATATCCCATAATCATTATATATTTATAACGTTTAAAATCCATTTACCGACTATAAAAAATATAATTTAAAAAAATAAACTTTAATGCCATTTAAACATTCAATAAASTTTCTCTTTATCCTGACATTTTATTTTTCATTCGATTTAACACAATATAATAAATACTTTTTAAACGTATTTTTTGTCATTCTGTCTAAAATTGTATATATAGCTTCTTAAGCTATAAGTCATAATCAAAGCTTCTAAATAAGGCCTATGGTAATCTTATCAAATAATTTAATTGCGATTGGAAGTTTTGTAAATGTATTTCTTTAAATTCTTACAWAATTTATTTTGATAGTTGGTGCACTTCCAATTAATTATTAATYAAATTTTGTTCACCGGAAATATCAAAATTCTACACATTCAAAATCAAACATTATATGAATCATATATTATTTATTATTATATGTACCAGGTACCTACATGGCTACATGTTATAATATATGTTTACTGTATACACATTTAAACCTAATTTTAATTTATTACTTATAAGTTATTAAGTGTTATAAATATTTGACTAATGCATATTGTAGGGGAACGAGGAATACGTGGATTTGACGGAACTCCAGGAATGCCAGGAGAAAATTCTCGCCCAGCGCCCAAAGGCGAAAAAGGTAAACTTCGTAAAATATGTGTACAGCGTAGGTTCAGTATCTATTTATTAAATCGTTTAAGAAAAAAGAAACGTTTAATTTTAATAATAAATGTGCCTATTACACAWTTTACATTTTTAATGATTGGACATCCCAACCTCATGGAATCTGCGTCCATGTGTATAATATATAAACTCTAAGTAACTACAGTATATTGGTATCTAGCATTTTATGATTTATATTTTTAAAATGTCTATCTACTATAAGAACCAAAGCAATACTCGTTATATTTTCTGAATTAAGAAATAAYGAATCAAAAACTTTTAAAAAAGTAGGTACCTATCTAAAATATAATTATATGATATTGTTGTTTTAGGCGACCCTGGGTCACCTGGACCACCCGGTCCACCAGGACCAGCGCTGTCAGGGGTGAAAATTGATAAAAGTAAGCATGAACTATAGCTATTAAAGATTTTATGAAAATGTATCAATATTGTAGATACCGTATTAATAGTATATAAACTATAAAGCGTTGTAGCTTACTGCAATAATACCACTTATTCATTCATCCAATCGATTGATATTGTGCCTTTTGTGCTTACCTAATACTATTTTCGTCATCGATGTGTGTCCAAAAACAATTTCTCAACAGCATCTCTTAAACTATAACCAACAGCAAATATCTAGTGCTACATAAATAAAAGACTATCTATAYATACCTTCTGATCAACAGATTTTAACTTATGATTATCTAATAAACAAAAATAAAAATGATTGGAGCTTACAATGATTTTATTACTCGCAGATTAAAAGCTTTCATACTTTTTGTAAATAAAATTGACATTTGTCATTTAGATATGAAAATGTATGTAGCCACTAAAGTATTTATTAAACWCGATACAAACTTAAACGTAAGCAAATTATATCTTAATAAAGAGTGATGTAGATTTACCCTTGTTCATATATATGTTTCTTATAATGTTTACAACCTAATTCAATAATATTTCATTAAATTAGCGGATACAGCAGTTGTGAAAACAGTGAAAGGTGATAAAGGCTCAAAAGGAGATCGTGGGGAAAAAGGAGCAGTTGGTAATTTGGGCCCCGGAGGAAACCCTGTAAGTATAATTTATAATATATTCTTTATTTGAACTAAAATKCACACATTACAAAAATAAAGGRTACTTGATAAGTTTATTTTAGTTATTAAATCATGATAAAAGTGGAAACATTTCTCCATTACATAGAATTATTCGAGAAAATAATTTCAAAATTTCTAGTCTCAATTATGAAATATAATAATTATACACGCAGTACTTATGTACCATACAGTTGTACCTATGTGATGTATATGGCATAAATACATAATAATATATACTTAACATATTTTTATTAACTATTCATCATATATCATACTTATTCAATTCATAAGTAATGGATAATAAGTCCTACTTACAAAATAAATATGAAAGCTAAAAATGAATTAACCTATGATAATWACGTCTACTTACTGTAAAGTTGTACAGTGTATGTGTATCGGTATTTTTTACAATGTTAGGTATATTTAATTTTCATAAAAATAATATATTTTTCTTTTTTGAAGGGGTGTAAAATTATGATTGTATTTTATTTACCTAAATATGCAAATAAAATAAATTATTTATGTTACAATGTGTTACCTGTGGTTTTAGKGTCCACCTGGTTTGACGGGTCCCAAAGGTGAACGAGGAGAGCCCGGTTTACCAGCACCCGTATCATCTACGACCAACCTAGGAATGAACATCAAAGGAGATAAAGGTAGGAATGGATACAAGGATTCGCTTATACTATAATTCCAACTAAAAAGTAGAAGCTAAGGTTATCTTTAAAACGCAGTCTATTTTAGACTAATTTCTGTGAAAAATAGTTTAGTGCTATACTATATTGACGATATTATTGTTGATTAAGTATAGATATTATCTATCTAGCTTTCTTTTTCAGCCACAATGATCATTCTTATAGCAGTTTTGCAACATGTATGCACAACATGTTCATTATTGAAAAATACGTGAAAAAAAAATAGTGTAAACAAATTAACTATAACTTTACATATTATTATTTATTATATTACCTAGATATTATTATTGGTAGTTACAAATAAAATGTATATCAAAAAATATCATTTTTTTTTTACCCATGACACTTTAAAAGGCCAAATTGTATTTTTTTATTCTTTTTTTAATTTAATATTTTAACTATCTAAGTCAACATGTTTTTAAGTAAAAATTAATTTAGGTATAATAACACAGTGTAAAATACATTATGTTATTACTGACATTTCAATTATAACGTATATTTTAATATTCTGTGTATTTAGGTGAAATGGGAAGACGAGGTAGACGCGGAAAACCAGGTAAAACCATATCATTAAGTTTGTGTTTAATTAACTCCCGGGTTTTAACTTAAAAACGCCATGTAAAATGATTTTTTTTTTTAAATTATTTAAATAATAAAACTATTATTGGTTTATAGGTCCTATTGGTCCACCAGGTCCACCCGGAGAGATTGGTTTACCTGGTTTACGAGTAAGTTAAAAAAATAATATATTTATAGATATATTTTATAACTATGCATTTAACGAATAACTAATTATGTATGATGTTATTAATACGCTAATCAAAAATTAAGGAAGACGTAAGTTGTATTGTTTAAATAACATTAAATATGTTAACAAAAAACCAATTACTATCAAAAAATTCGTGTTATTTATTTAGTTTGAAGCATAACGATAAGTTGATATTTTGTTTATTTTTCGATTATTTACGATATTATTTTAATCTGTTTTCAATTAAAACAGCTTAAAATATTTATTTGTATAAATAATATGATATCATGATTTCACAATTGTGTGTCTTAGGGTTCGCCAGGCAAAGCGGGAGGTGTTAAAGGGGACAAAGGTGATCCGGGAGAATCTGTGGTGAGTAAAATGTTATTAAAATATTTATATTAATACTTTCATAATTTTAAACGTTCAAAATATAATGATTGTGACTATAGAAAGGGGAAAAAGGAGAACCGGGAAAAGATGGATTACCAGGTTCGGGAGGAACATACGTGCCTGTACCAGGTCCACCAGGTCCACCAGTAAGTATTATTTTTTTTTGTGCTTTATTATTTGTGTTCAAATTATCAGTAAATATTAACAAATGATATTCATTTCATCAGGGAATTCCAGGTGTTGCAATCGAAGGGCAAAAGGGTGAACCTGGTGATCCAGGATTTTCATCATCGCCTCTCCGAAGTAATACTAACAGGCTATAAGATTTTTCTATTGGTTGTCTTTACCATAAGTATTGTTAATTTTTTATATTAATTTTCAGGTGAAATAAACGAACCCATAATTGTACCAGGCGCAATGACGTTCCCGAACAAGAAATCAATGATAAACGTAAATATGAAATACATATATAATATATATATAAATAAATCAACTATAGAGCTACAATTCATTATACTTCACTGATAATTGTGCACGTATTGTTTCAAAATAATTGAATTGTTTATATTACTTAGTTGACAGATAGAACTCAGATGGGTACCATTGCATTCATCATCGAAGAGGAAGCTCTTTTAGTCCGTGTCACCCGTGGCTGGCAGTACATTTCCGTAAGTCATATTATAAAGATGTGGCTTTAATTTAATCATATCGGCCATTAATGTTTGTCTGGTACAGCTTGGTTCATTGGTCACAACTGGAATGGATCCGGTCCCGACGAACATTCCGTTGCCGACTAGAGTACCATTAGAATCATCGAATTTAGTACATAACCATCCAATAAAAGATAACACAATGGTAAGACACACGTTTATTTTCAAGTTTTCAGCTGTTGATAAAATCAAAATATATTAATTTTTAAGTATCTACTTAGTTACATATAATTATAATACCATTTGAATTTTTTTTCTATTTCTTCATAATATGTAATAATATGGTAGTTAAGATACGAAAGCTGTCAAACCTAGCTTTAACTATACAGATACCTACTATAATTTTCACAACCCTCTTTTGTCAAAACTGATTTTGACAAGTGAAAACTAGAATTAATCTTCAATATTAGAACTAGTTGTGTCTGAAATATAATGGTAAAAATTAGAACTATCTAATGTAAACTGATTTTCAGAAGTAATTTTTGTATTGGTATTAATAAAATAACTATTTTAAACTAAAGAAAACATGCGACAAGTATAATATAATATAACATCATATATTGAGATAAGTCATAGAAATGTAATTTAAATGTTTGAAACAAATGATCGAACTTTATCATTGTTTCGGAAAGGAAAACTTTTATAGAATTTAGAGTTAGACAAAAGTTGATTTTTTTTTTGTACAAGCAGCGAAAAAATATGTTGCATAATATGATTTTTTGCAAGTGCACCCTACATATAATTTTGGTCCTGACCTCGTCAATKATTTTGTCATATAGTTGTGAGCTCATCGAAAGGAAATAGTATTATTTTGAACTGGTTTCGCTGAAATGAACACAACTGCGTAAGAAATAAACTCAGTCCTAAACCAATTTTTCTGATTATCACCTTACAACGTTACATTTTATTTTGTGAAATAGARGATGATAAAGAACACACACGTCTTGCAATAATTTTTGTCTAGAATAAATTCTGTCTTTAATTCTAATTCTGCATCGTTCACCTACGGTCTCTCACTTTTTGATTTTGATTTTTAATATTATCTATATTTCAATATTAAATYATGTTTTTCATTTAAGCATTTAAACTTGATGTTAATGATAGTTTTAGYTTGGTATTCAAAATCAGTTTTGACGAAAGGGTGCTGTAAAAACTAGTATTGGCTAGTTAAACAACTAATAGTTTGATGTTTAATGAATTTTGGGTTTTAACTGTAACATATTGTTATTTACTCAACACAGCATATTCCAATGCAAATATATATATTACTATTATTACTCGTAGTATACTATATACTTGTAAATAAATTTTTTTTTGRAAACTAATGAACGCGTAATGTATTGTTCTGTTTCAGTGGCATCCTAAAATGGTGAGTATAATATAGAAATCTCGCGGGTTTGTTGTGTTTAATTATAACTTTTACTACCTAACTAATATAAAAAAATATAATATTTTAAGTAATATATCACGTAGTAGCACGTATTCACATGATATAACTATTTCTGTAATGCACAGCTTAATATATAATAATAAAATAGTTGTCATATCATATAATGACGAAATATTTCACAATGTAGTTACGAATAGCAGCGTTGAACGAGCCATACACAGGTAACATGCACGGAGTTCAGAGTGTGGACTATTCGTGTTATCGTCAATCTCAAAGAGCGGGGCTTCACGGAGCGTTCAAAGCGTTCCTGTCTTCGCGACTTAATAATTTGAAAACGATCGTTCACGAATCCGACAGAGATTTGCCCGTCGTCAACATCAAAGGAGACGTCCTGTTCAACTCTTGGAAAGATATATTCAGTGAAAACGGCGCTTTTATATCACAACAGCCCAGAATATACAGTTTTAGTGGCAAAAATGTACTCACTGATTTCACGTGGTAAGAACAAAACAACTAACAGTGAAAATTATTATAATGTTGTACTCACGTGTGCCTATACCGTATCTATGTGGAATGTGAATATATATATATATATATATATATATATATATATGAATAATAATAACAGGTATGGGTACAGTACCTAACCCCTTATAGGTAAAATATTTGTACCACATGTTTTTCAGGAAACCTTTAATAATTCTTATATATATTATGTTACCTTATGTATCATAGCCATAGACAGTTTATAAGAATTCTGGACGTTATACTGGATTCCAAAGTAGTGCATTTTCTAATAAAGTCTCCATGTATAGATACGTTTTATGAAATATTGTTTACTTGTAGGTAATTTTGCTAATATAGAACATAAATGTACATTAAGGTGCCTTTATACCTTATAATGCGAATATATAGTAACCATTAATGGTAACGATTTCCTATTTATCCTTTCAGTCACACGTCATAATAATAATAAATTTATAATCAATAAAGTTTAACAAACTCTGGGCTAAAAAAATGTTAAGGCTTAGAAATGGTCTGGCTAAGAAAACAAAGCATTTATATATATATATATATTGTATCGAAGGCTTAAGATTTTGAATAAATATGAGCATAATAATATTTAAATAATAGATATTTTAACAGTGTAAGCGAAGGAACTTTCTAAAATGCAACTCTTTATTTTTCATAATAGATTTTGAAAGAATGATCGTCATATATTATTAATATTATCGGTTTCTAAAACAAAAAAGACATAAAATTGCTTATTTAAATAACATGAGATATTAGCTACCGTGGCGTCGTTGAACTTTATACTCGCCTTTACATTAGAACCTTTTACTTTTTTTTCACCCATTGCACGTATCGTATTACGGTATTTTTAATGCCACGAAAGCATTCGGGCACAGYATATTAAAAGCCATTCTATAACAATAACGATTCGTTTTAAATGAACGATTCCATTGTAGTCATTTTTCACTCTCGCGGTATGCCTTTGACAATAAAAAAACGAGAAACTATTGTCTTTTTGTCACCGGTACCTAGMATCGTGTACTATTATAGCGTATTTAGTGTCAGCGGTGTTGCTTATTATAATATACGTGARTTCTATTTTAAAACTCGGCGCAAAAAGATTTTACAAGAAAGTGCTCTGCAACGTTAGCCGAGAGTAGTCAGCTACAAAAATCGAATTGTGAAAAAAAAAATATAAAAAAATCAATGAGAAAAAAAACAGCCAAGGTGCGAAAAATAGTGACTTAAAAATGAATAACGCCTGACGAATCGTCTCTCGGGGATTTAGCGAACTGTATGTCTAGTCCTTTTATCTTCGGTAGTAGGTATTCCGCGAGAGTTGCYTGCATTCCAATTCTATGAATTTAAGTCGTTTTAATAACAGTCCGCATCATATGGCTATAGTGAARAAGCTAATGATAGTAATATTATAGTAATCTAACCTTTASCATTCATACATATCTACAAAAGTTTCAATGACGGTCCGATACTCCGATAAAATGCCGTAAGAAGTTCATCCATCGATTAATTGTAAATTTTAAATGAACGGAACTCACGAAACCATCAAGGTTTCAGTCTCTGCAGGACTCTGTATAGAAAATAATACACCCAATTAATTTTCGCCACCATGATAATATTATAATATTAAAAATAAACAAAAGTCTTTACAAACAATACAAAAATCAGTATAGTTGCCGTCGTATATACATATAGATAGAGGTAAACCTGCCGTAACGGCAACGTGCTGCAGGCAATACAATTTATGATATATATATATATATATAAAATCATGTAGCACTTACGATTGTTTATCATACTATTGTATATCATTATTCAGGCCACAGAAGACCATCTGGCATGGATCTGACTTGTCCGGCGACAGTGCTGTGGACGGAAACTGCGACGCATGGAACTCGGAGAGCGCCGACAAACGGGGACTGGGCTCGTCGTTGACGCCAAAGTCCGACCGGCAGGCAAAGCTCCTGGACCAGGACTCGGCTTACGACTGCCGCAACTTTTTCGTCGTCCTCTGCGTGGAAATCACACCGCACTCGGGGGCGATGTTTTCGAGGAAACGGCGCAGTGGCGTTGGAGGTTCGCTCGACGAACCGCAGCCGCCGTTGAGTCGCCAAGAGTACGAGAAACTCATCGAAAACATCGGAGCTTGAATATTATTATACCGAMCCGAAAACGCATCCGTCTCGTCTGCTGTATTCGATTATTACAAAAWATTATGTTATCGTTTCGACTTTATTTTTTACTGTGTACAACGACAACGAAACTGAGTTTCTTTTCCAATTGCATAAGAAAAAAAAAACATCAGTTTGCTGTACGCCATGCAATATCATAACTTAAACGAAGCGACATGATATATACGATATAATTCTAACCATTGTAATTACTATACCGACTAAATTATTATAGGTTATAGGATATGTTCTTCATTCCTCGTTAGTCGTTATATTTTGTTTAATGTACAACAACATATTATTATTTTAACAATCGCATATCATTCATACTCTCACCATATCTTACTCTAAAGACAATTATTATTATAATTTTATCGATTGGAGATTTTGCGAAACCACAACAGTGGATCGCTTAAAAATATTATATTATTATCACACTCCGTATGAAACTACGCTATATAGTGAGTCCATCCTTAACATTATCATCATAAAACTCGCACATATCTTGTGGATCTTTTAAATTATTTTTATTCGAAATTTCTCTAAATATTTATATTGGTTAAAAAAATGTTATCTATGTTTTCTTTTTATTTGTTTATACGTAATAAATAGTATTATTAATGACTAAGTTAATATTGTTGCAAATTCCTAATGATTAATGAATATTCAATTTTCAATTCCAATCAGAATTACATACTTTTAAAGAAACTCCTTATAGGCATATATTAACGCTAATCGAATAGTTTTAAAAAATACCTTGATTAAATTCATCCATCTTATTGTTTGCCATCAAAAATTTTACCAATAGCAACATAAAATCATCAATTATATTATTATATCAACAGAGATAATGTCGTATTTCGGTTAAAATTCTAATTGAATGTCATAAATAACCATTTGCATTTAAATGAAAATAAAATTATTGTTTTGGACATTTAGCTTATAATAAATAATAATTGATAATTGTTTACATTTATGTGTTCAAGTCATAATATTGTGTGTATTTATTTTAAATATTATTAAATCATTTTATACTATACATACACGTATGTGTAAGACATATTCGTTTAACGTATTATAAAAACATTGATTTTATATAAAATTTTGTACATTGTATATATAGTTTTGAATTAATTAGTTTTATAAATC